TCACTCACTCTTCATGATTGACACCGCCACGAGTCCATTCTCTACTGTCCACTCAGCCCCACATCTCATGCTTACTCAAGGAGCTAATTCAGAATAGCAATCCATCTCTCGTACCCTCTCCCAAGCCACCTATGTCTGGCGCTCTTGCTTGCGGCAATGGTTGCAAACAAATGTCTCAAACTCCGAGCTCACACCAAGCATTCGTCAACTGGAGTGCATGATCCGTGGTCTATTCACACCAACCGTATTCCAGCCCTGCACATGATAGGGCTCCATGCTTGAATTTTATTAAGGTTGTGCACATGCATCAGGTTGCTCACACCACACAATTGTGGGGCATCCTTCGGCAGCTAGAGCTCGTTGAATTACATCCACAGCCTGCTCTTGCCAAGGAGATACGTACGTGTGACAAGATAGTGCCACCCATTTGTGTCCAGTTTACTCAACATAACAAGCAATATGCCTCCTCCAGACCATACCAATTGTCCATGTCGATAAGCATTTCCACGTTGTGCAGACACAGTTGATGGTGATGTGGCCACAATGGACTACACTATTATACAAGACACACACTTGTGGGCTCTCTTCTTTGAAGGCTCTAAGTACCGCCTCAATGGCAACACCGCAGATATGATGAAATTGCATGGGTCCTGGGGACCAACTCACGCAGATGTGCATACATCAAACATCGTCTTCACACTCAATGGAAAGGTAGATGAGAATAGGACCAAGACCCGTCACTTATATTATCAAAAATTATGATTACAATGAGCTCACAGTTCCCTGAGTCAACGCGCTTCAGCGCAATACCTGTCTCTTATACACATCTAGATGTGTATAAGAGACAGAGGTATGTCTCTCGTATCACTCACAACCTCATTCCCCAACTCACAAATGCCACTTGCACCCAGGACACCATGCGCCCCATCCAGCATACAGCAGCGCAGCTCGGCTATGGCTGCCTGCTCCTTCCAGCTCGCCCGTGAGCGCGTGAGCCTGGCAGGCGAT